CCGAGAACTGCATGGTTCATTCCAGATGCTGGACACAAGAATGGGAACGGATCACTGATCCCTCTGATATAAAACTGAAAAGCAGAAAACGCGAATCCTTTAGCACCACCTCCTATGAATGCACGTATCACGTATCATTTAGGTATATTTATTTGGTAAAAATCAAAGGTTCCATCATTTGTTTTCCAAAGAATCATCTCTTTACGCGTGAACTATTCCAAGTTTGACTTTGATTAGTGTTTTTCTTTCGGTTTATTTGATCAGCGCAGTACAACAGATCTTGATGAACCAATAAACAGACGACAAAAATGTTCATAGCAAACCAGAATAAATGACTTGATCTATATATCACATGAACTATCTAAATTAACGAGCTCTCCAATGGTAATTTACCTGGAGCATGTTAGCGTTCAGCGCCATGCTCAGTGGTCCGTGCTCCGCCATGTACGCGGCTAGTTGATTCTCATTTTGACTCACTTTACTTGATGAGTTCACATAGGCGACGAACTTGTTCTTGTTCAACATACACCTCTGTTGATGAGCCATATACGGATAGTCGGTTTCCCTCTCGACACCGCCCATTTGTGCGAGCGCTTCGTACGTTACCATTGGCCATCCACCCTCGCAACCATAGTCCCGTGTATCACAGTCTACCAGTTGCTAAAGTCATGGGATGAGCATATAAATCAACAGGAAGCGTTGGAACCGTTCGAACAAATGGATCACTCAGGAATCAAGTGCAAACAAGCATACTATGCCAATCCTCGTACAGGATCATTCATTGTGGTGTAATTAACAGGTACATCTCATCCATCCTCTTTTAGTTAGCACAGTCGAAAAGCTCTGGAACGGTTTGATGACATAGTGTCAAAAAAACCAATTTTCAACACTTTTGAACACTAATGAAAGCCTGAATTCAGCAGTATCAACTTTAAAATGAAACAACCTGTTCTCCCAAAATTTCAAATACCCCGAATCAGCACAGATCGGAACAAAACTGTTCGCAATGCCCGAATTGAAATAAGGCGCGCTTGGACGGCAATTATCAGCGTTCATGTGCATGGTGAAAACTCAAAAATGCCTCACAGTTGGAAAAAGCACATCGAACAATCACAAGAAAAGTTGCGCACTCTTTACTGTTTTCGAACATAAACCAGGTAGAAGATGCATCCCATAAGTGCCGAGGACAGTAGTGGCACTTACTTGTTCGCTCAGTTTCAAAAGCTGTCCAGTTTTCAGGAACCACTGACCTTCCACGTTCCCAATCACAGAGAATGCCCAGCACGAACCACAATGTCCTTGCTCCTGTACCGGAGTCACCGCACCTTTCGCGCGCCAATCCAAACTTTCAGGTGGCACTTTATCACTTGTCACGACGTCAACATTAATCACACTCAGTTGCCGCCTTATTTCTGGGTTCAAGTATTTACGTTCGAACTCCTCAGCTGGATTGTGTGAAAGATAAATTATTGTGAATATAGATTGTTTCGGGGTTTTGTAAACCATTTGGAGGAAAGACAAACCAATATGAAACTCCGACTCAACAACTAACCTGTCAGATCGGAAAACTTTGTGATACCGTATTCCGCTGTCCCTTGATCCATCGCTTCATACCACTTCGCTTTCTTCAAATTATCCTTGAACACGGTAAAACGATACTCATCGACTGTAGTGTGTTCAATTTCAATCACCATTGGAACAAAGGTGACTAACCATCATTCGCATGATTCTTCCCATATTTCACTTTGAATTCTTCGTACAACTCTCGCACATTCTCCGGTTCTTTGTAGTCGAATTGCTGAAATCGGACAAAACAGAATTGGCCCATTCACTTTGTCTTGATACATCGCTTGTGATTGAATAAATCATTGAATAAATCAGCCCTATTAGTAGTGGACAAAACTCCA